GGGAGCCCACAATCTGGGTGGTGGGGTGAGGAGAGGCCCTGGGGACCAGAAGCGTTGGGAGGGTGTCTGAACACTTCAGATAAATGGTTGTGGGGTTCAGGGGAGGCTCCACTTTGTACGAGCCTGCAGCAGGCTGAGGAAGGGCTGAAGAGGTGGGCTCTAAGGAGGGAGGGAGGCTGCTCCCAGCGGTTGGCTGATGGGAGAGCCCTGCTCTGTCTCCCTCTCCACCTGGTATGGTCCGGGCTCTGAGAGGCGCAGTGTTCCGGGGTCCCCACCAGGGGTCAGCACACCGCTGCATTCTGGCTGTTTTACTCTCTTGAGGAACTCTCCTGGGTTCCCCTGGCCCCTCCACAGCCCCCGGCTTCCTTTCTGTCTCACTTCTCTGAGCCCATCACTCCCCAGTTACGGTCATTTCATCCAGACCCGTCAGTGCAGGACCAGGCAGCCTCCCAACCAGCCAGCCTGACGTCTCTCCTGAGCTGGGGAATCCCACAGCCTCCCTCACTTCCCAGCCGCATGAGCTCCGGCTGGGCAGCAGAAAGGGCCTCCTGCTGTCTTTCTCCTGCTGCCATTCAGCGCAAGGTCTCTGGTTTGGTTTCCAGGGGAAATGGGAGGGTTCGGAGGTTCACTCCTTCTAATAAGTTTTCCCACATGTGTTAGCAAAGCTCTTCTTCAAGCCCTCCTCCCCTGTTTTGTGGACCCCACCAAGTCTCCAGAGCCCCGCTCTGCTCCCCTTAGGCGGGACTGCTCTTCCTCCCTTCAGCACAACACCCGCATGCGTGAAACCGAGAGCTCTCTGGGCTGGCCCCTCCTCTTACTGCTCCCTGGCAAACCTCGGACCTACTCTTTCAGGTCCTACCTCTCATATACCCACCACGCCAACACCTCTTTTTCCACAGGTGAGGCCCCTAGCCTGAGAGGCTCAGCTCATTCTTCACCATCTCTTCCACCCTGTCCTCACACCTCTTCCTCCAGGAAGACTTCCTTCTCACCACCCTAAGCTGTAGAGACAAACAGGCATGAGAGCATCCTGGCATTGCCAGGCGCTAGCTGTGCTGCCTTCACCTAATTCTCAGTCTCTTTATCTGTCAAATAGAGTGATACACAGCTTTCAGATGTACTGTGAGGTCTCAGTAAGGTAATGGATGTGGAAGTGTTAGCCCAGCACATAGCGACACAGAAGTCACCTATCCTTTTCTTTTTTTTCTCTTTTGAGACGGAGTCTCTCTCTCTTGCCCAGGCTGGAGTGCAGCGGTGCTATCTTGGTTCACTGCAACCTCCGCCTCCCAGGTTCACACAATTCTTTTGCCTCAGCCTCCCGAGTAGCTGGGATTACAGGCACCCACCACCATGCCTGGCTAATTTTTGTATTTTTAGAAGAGATGGTGTTTCGCCATGTTGGCCAGGCTGGTCTTGAACTGTTGACCTCAGGTGATCCACCTGCCTCAGCCTCCCAAAGTGCTGGGATTACAGGCATGAACCACTGCACCCGGCCACCTATTCTTTTCTTGTAGTGCAGCTGCCACCCCCACTGCAGGTTCCTGATGATGGGAACCATCAGCAGGTTCCTGATGATGGGAACCTGCCCTTGCTAGGTGCACTGGCTGCTTCTGCAGGGCTCTGTGGGGACCTCAGACCAGAACCCTATCAGCAGGGCCATGTCCCTCCCCTGACCATGCATGAAGCCTGGAGTGGAGGCCTCTGTCCTCCCCTGGAATTGTTGGGAGCCCCTTCTGGCCTAGCATGGGGGAGGGGCTCCCACAGAGTTCCCTGAGGCTTAAAGGAGCAGAAGGCTGGTGGGAGGTGAAGGAGGGGTGGCAGGGCAGGGGGAATACCGACCACACAGTATTCTGAGTCCCTGCTCCTTTTCCCATCCACCCCCACCCCCTCCGCCAAACACGATCCCTGGGTTAATTTTTAGCATCGCAGCTCGCACATTAGTCACTCCCTGTCACCCACCTACACGGCAGGAGGCTGCTGTGCTGGTGCCGTCATCCCATCAGCTGAGAGGTGGGATCTAGCCCCGCCCTGGGCACCCCTCACCCTCCCCTACGAACTCACGGCTGGCCAGGAGTCCCCATCAGCCTGGGTGAGGGGGCACCGACATCACTCCTGGGACTAGCTACATGGCAGGAGGTAGGGACAGACTGATGGCCAAGGGACTTGGAATCTACTCGGGGGAGAATTTAGGGAGGCCCCTGCAGCCTTCCACCCCCTGTAAGGTGCCAGGCTATGCCCAGGCAGTTGGTATCCTGGCAGCCTTGGGATCTGGGAACAAAGGTGTCAGGGGGCCCCTCCCCTAGACCTGAGCCTCTGGGAGCCAATGTTTGTCATCGCCACAGAGCAGCTGTTCAAACAGGGAGCTTGGGGCAGCTCCATTTTCTTAATCAAATGTCTTCCCTTCCTGGGACTGGGGAGGACAGGGTGGCCAGGTTCAGGTGCTCTTGCTGGGGCTGCCACCCAGCCCCAAAGGGATTTTGAGAGAAGGGCCTACAGATGCCAGCTACAGATGGAGCAGAAGAGGGGACATCTCACCCAGCCCCTGGGGCTCAGAGGTGGGGAGGTGGTGGTTACCCCAGGCAGGGTTGGCCCCAAGGAGGCATTCACTCATCGGCATGAGTTAATAGAGCCCCTCCGAGCCCCTCCTGTGTGCCAGGCTCTGTTAGGCCCTGGAGGTGCAACTTCAAACAAGGCTGGGTTCCTGCCCTCACAAAGGCAAGACAGAAACAAAAGAAGTCAGTGCGATTCCCAATTGGGAGAAAATGCTATGAAGTAAAAAAGAAAATAGACGGGCGTGGTGGCTCATGCCTGTAATCCTAGCACTTTGGGAGACTGAGGCAGGTGGATCACCTGAGGTCAGGAGTTCGAGACCAGCCTGGCCAACATGGGGAAACCCTATTTCTACTAAAAATACAAAAATTAGCTGGGTGTGGTGGTGGGCGCCTGTAATCCCAACTACTCAGGAGGCTGAGGTTGCACTCCAGCCTGGATGACAAGAGTGAAACTCTGTCTCAAAAAACAGACAAACAAACAAAAACCCCAGATGACTCAAAATAAAGAATAATGGGGTCAGGGAACTACTTCCTATTCGATCAGGCAAACCTCTCTGAGGAGGTGATGTTTCAGCTGAGGCTTGAGGATAGAGAAATCATTCTTGCAAAGAAGAGTGTTCCAGGCAGAGAAGACAGCATGGGCGAAGGCCAGAGGCAGGAGAGAGCTTGGCATATTTGAGGAATAGGAGCAGAAAGGATAGTGTGGCTTAGACGTAACAAGTGACCTGGAAGGAGAAACAATTTGAGATCAGAGGGAGAGGCACAGACCAAATTCTAGAGAAATTCATGCAGGGCATCAGGATATAGTTGCAGAGGTTAGGCACTGCACAAAAGACTCCCAGTTACCAAACTGTTGGGCCTGTGTGGTTGCTGTCAGCCTGGAGAAAGGGATGCTGTGGTATTGTCTCCCCAGAGGGACGTGTTATGGATAGGCCATGGTAAAGAGTTTGGACCTTATTCTTTTATTCCAGGGGAAGGCATAATGGGTTTAAGCAGAGGAGGGTTGTGATCCAGTTTCCTTTTTGAAAAGATCACGCTGACTGCTGTGTGCAGAAGGGATGCTCAAGGAGCAAAAGAAGAAACAGAAACGGGACCCACTCAAAAAGCAAGAACCATGGTGCGGGACAGGCGGGGAGGGTCTGCTCAGACCTCACTCAAAGCCACCCCTTGCACACTGGTTACTCCTGGGGAGGAGCACTGGAGCAGGGGCCTCAAGTCCCAGGCCCAGCTCTGCCACTAGTTTGCTGTATGACCCCAGACAGGTCACTTGAAAGAGGTCGTGACCACCACTTGGAGATGTTTGAGCACATACTATGTCGGCACACGCTGTATTGAGGGTCTACCATGTGCTAGCATCAGGCAAGAATAAAGCAGTGAAGACAGAAAAGGCTCCTGAGCACTGCTGCAAGAAGCGTGCATCCTCCTGGGTGGGGAGGGCAGGCAAAGATAAACCCATAAAAGTCAAGACAGTCCCGGATGGTGATGCATAATCTGATGGGAATAAAACAGAGCTGTCACAGAGGAGGGTATGACTGTATTTCCCACTGGGTGGGAAGGTCTTCAGGAGGCAGGGCTGAGGACTGAAGGAGCCATCTGTGGGAGAGGCAAGTGCAGAGACCCTGATAGAAGGGGTCTGAAGTGTGCCAAGTACAGCCAGCAGCGCAGCCAGGGCAGGGAGTGAGAAGCAGAGGCCAGCAGGGGTCAGAATATCATCCTGGGAGGCCGGGCGCGGTGGCTCATGCATGTAATCTCAGCACTTTGGGAGGCCAAGGCGGGCAGATCACCTGAGGTCAGGAGTTCGAGACCAGCCTGGCCAACATGGTGAAACCCCCGTCTCTACTAAAAATACAATTAGCTGGGTGTGGTGGCGCCTGCCTGTAATCTCAGCTACTCGGGAGGCTGAGGCAGGAGAATCACTTGAACCCGGGAGACGGAGGTTATAATGAACCGAGATGGGGCCACTGCACTCCAGCCTGGGTGACAGAGGGAGACTCCACCCCCCCCCCAAAAAAAAATCAATCTCATCCTGGGATTACGGGAAACCGCTGAAGACTGCTAGAACAACAGGGTTATCCGTGATTGGGCCCGTCACAGGCCAGGTGGTAATGCCTCAAGTCCCTGCAGATCTGGCTTGTGCCCCTCAAGGGAGACCTCAGAAGCTGGGAAGGCATGCCAAGCACACGTATTTCTACAGGGATGGCTGAGGACTTGAGGCAAGCCTTGGCCACCACCTGCTTGGGTATCTGGGGAGGGAGGCTCAAGCTGTGAAGAAGTGTGGGGCCTCCAGCTCAGGCCCATACATGTAAGTTTAAATCTCCCAGCCTATTTCCCTGGCTTCAGGCTGCAAGAAAACAAGACGTGTGTGCGTTGGGCGGGGGTTGCGATGGTGGAGTCAGAGCTTGCCCCAGCCCAATCCTCCCCCTCAGGCAGTCACCACACTGACACAGATGCAAAAAACCATCCATTTTATACAGTTTGTGGTTCAGAAGCAACAATATGCAGAACGGTGGAACAGTCTGTGCTGTCCCCACCCCACCTGAACTTGCCGGTTCCTGTCCCCCAAGGGGCACAGAACACAGGCCCCCTGCCTGGCAGGACCCGACTTAGTTACAGGCCCCTGGGAGGGGCGAAGCCCTTAGGGGTCGAGGCCAGGAGGGAGGAGGACCAGCACCCGATGCCCCTGGAGGCCCGCTGGGTCATGGAACTGTGTATGGAGGGTGGGGGGTCAGCCCACCACGGGCCATTTCTCCCCAAGGCTAAGGGCGGGGGAGCAAGTAAAGCTGAGGAGAGGGCTTCATGGGACAAGGTCCCCATCCCCTGCTGGGAGGGTGTTCCTGGATACCCCACAAGGCACTACAGATGCAGACTGTAGGCGAGCACCCCCATCTTTGGCCCCCGATTTCCTGGCTCTCCCCCTGCCCCAGCTCCCACTGTGGTTTGGCGGGGGAGAAGAGAAGGGTCTGGGCCCCCCACTCCCTCAGCAGACACCAGCCAGGAATCGACCCGGTGGGCTGAGGCTAGCAAGGACCCTCTCCCGCTGCTCTGGGCTCCTGGGGTCCTCTTGGCTCGGCCTCCCCCTCTTTTAGCGCTGTCTGTTGCGAATAAATAAATAAATACCTCCCTGCCCGCCCCCGCCCCTACAGCTGGCTCTCCTCCTCCTCCAGGGAGCGGTTGAGTCCGGGGATGAACTTGAGCAGCCGCCGGCGGAAGCTGCGGTACTTAGTTTTGCGCAGGCCGGCGCCGCATAGGGCCTGC